CCTCCCCTCTCCCCCCCTCCCTCCCTCCTCCTCAGGCCCACCTTCCCTCCCTCTTTTTCTTCTGCACTCACTCCACGATCCTCTACCCCACTCATTCCCTCTCACTCCTCACTCTGGCTCTCCTCCGTGATATCTCCCTCCTCCTCCTCCTCCTCCCTCTTCCTCCCTCCTCCTCCCTCCTTTTCTCTCCAGGATAAGGGGGTCTCTGTCTCTGCTGCAAATTACCGACACAAAACGAAGGTGGTGGCGGCGCCGGCGCAGGAAGCTGCCGGTCCAGGGCCTCCTGTCAGCATTAATGAGACGATGAAGGTTTATTTCGCCCGCATGCATGTGCTAAATTCTTTCTTGTGTGACAGCTGACTGGGAAATGTGAGTGTTAACCTTATAAAAGATTCAGCGGATTCTCATTATTTTCTGTCAACTCCAGTACCTGATAGCGTCGAGGCGCATCATTTGCATCCCTGACTGGTCCGAGGTGCGGCACCAGCTCCACAGCTTTCGGGGAGTTTTTTTCTTTTTTTTTTCTTCTTCTTCCTTTTTTTTTCTCCCCCTTCGGTGCTGTTTGTTTGTTGAGAGAAGTCATCTTTGTACACGTATCCTCCTCGAAACACACGCTTTTTACTCGATGTTCCAAAACGATAGAGATGCCAAAGTTTACTCAAAGGCGACACACGTTTTTACAAAACACATCCGGATACATATTTAACACGTCTGCTCAATCGAGCGAGTAAATAAAATGTAGCACATGTTTTTCCTCTTCTTTTTCTTTATCTCTCCCCCCCTTTCCACAAAAGCCTTGGAAGCTTAAGGAGGCCCAGCAGGCATTATTAGCGGTAAAGCTTATGGACAGGATTTCAATCATAGTGAAGAAGAGAAAACAAAATAAGCACATGTCTGCATATAGATTATGAACACTGACAGGTCAGTATGGGCTATTATGATGAAACTGCTCCATGTGCCATTTATTTTTTTCAGCGCTGACACCTGTGCGTAAAAGCTTGATGCAGAGTGAAATATTAAGTCCATATAGGTGTTGAGAAATGTGAGCCGCACAGCTGCTATCTCAGCCAGAAAAAAAAGAGCAGTCACTTCACCGTAACGATACAAGGGCGCCAACTTTTGTTTCGATACTAATCCAAGTTGAAGGTTGTGCAGATTGAAGCGCTTAGAAAGTGTTGTTCCACCAGAGGTGAGCTGAGAAAAAAAGGGAGCAGACAGCGGTTCATTTCCTGAAAATAAAATAAAATAAAAAAACCCAGTTTCCTCTCTTTAACAGGGATCAATAACATCCTCCCACTGCATCGTATGTGAAGGGTAGTGTGTGTGGCCATGAGAAAGAGTGTATGGATGGGTGTGTGTGTGTTTCATCACCGGACTAAGAGATGCACTGGCCCTTAAATTCCCACCACATCCTGGAGGAAAATAAATAAATAAGTCAAATTGAGCTTTTCTTCCGCAGAGGGACACTGGTTCAAACTGAGAAGCACCATCAGACACACACACACGCACACAAACACACACACACTCACACCCACAGTTACAGTGGTTGCGCTGCACATAGCTGAATAGGCTACTTGACTTTTTAAGAGGTTCACAAACTTCTCAAATACGCACAGGAACAAGTCTGATTTCAAACCTCACCATTAATGTTCACCTCTCATATTTCAGACGTTAAAAGTGCTAAGTTATTTTGTGTAATCTCCAATTTATAATCTACTGGGAAATCCTGATAATTCAATGTGCAGCTAATTTTACAGGGCCATGTACATTTTTTTGTCTTTTTATGTTTAAGTAAATTAAACGTTGGGATTAAGATTCAATATTTTTATTTAAAATATTTTTTTATCTCTAAAGACCAAGTTATAACAACAAATAAAATAACCCCCCTAGGAGCAAAAATCTACATGACCTGGGCAAGTAAATCCTCTATTCAGATCATTTTGTGGTGCCATATTTAATAAAAACGTGTGTACATTTAATAAGGGGTATATTCTATATATATTTTTTAAAAATTAGCCACTTTGTTTAGAGATTTTTAATTAAACTGAATTACAACCTCATTTTTACACAAGTTTTGACAGTCAAAAATTGACAGAAACTGGGCTAAAAATTTAGTTTAAAAAAAATAAAATAAAACTCCTTCAAATAAAAAAGAACTTTGAGGCATGATTAACACAAAGAGGAAGAAGTCAGTTGAATCACCTTATGATTAATTCAACCACAACATTTCTGGAGCTTGTGGACGCGGGGCACGGTGAGGATATAAAGAAAAGAAAAAGACAAAAAAAAAAAACATTGTGAGGAAGCATCAAACCACAGCTCCTTTTTCATGCACCAGAAGAGGAGAAAGAAACAGCTAAGTCAGGGGTGGGTGTGCGTCGCCTTATATCTGTGTTGTCCCCGCCTCGTATGTGACAGCTTGCAGCCGTGATGGGACCCCATGGGAGCGGGTAGCGGATTCACTAACCTGCCGGTGTCTGTGAGGCCGACGCGCGCCTCCAATCTGGTGGTCACATGGGGTGGAAGGAGAAGGAGGTGTGTGTGTGGTGTATATGTGTGTGTGTGTGTGTTGGTAAGGGGGTGTCGATGTTAATGCGAAGGGGGTTAGTTTGGTAGATTATTAGGGGCTGTCGAGGCCGCCGCACGGGGCAAACTGTTGGGCAAGATGCAGCAAAAAAAAAAAAAAAAAAAAAAGATGCTCACAATGGTATTTCACGCATGTTAAGGAGAAACATGCGTTCAATGGCGCCTTAAAGTTTTTCTCTTAGGCCAGGCCACTGGGACTATTGTGTACAATTATCCCGGACTATTAGCTATTATGACCATGTCTGGCATTAGGAATGTGGGCGATGCCCAAACAATGAATTGGGAAATAAACTTTATTTCCAGTCAATCTTTTTTTCTGCTTTTTAATGTGTCAAGGCAGAATGTATAGATAAATATTTTGTTTTAAACTGAACCAAAAAAAAAGAAAAAAAAAGAAGCACAAATAGAGCTGGGATAAATAATGTTGGTTTGAACAAGTTGCTATTGGTTCAAATTATGGTAAAAAGTAAAAAATGAAATATTAAAGAAATTAAAAGAAAAGGGAGATTTGCTCAAGAAAGCAACCCACACACAACAACTGTTTGCACGCAAACCAAACACAATTTTACCAAATATAAGCTTCATAATAACTATACAAGTTTTAAGCAAATCATTTTGAAATGTTAATCGTCTTGTAAATTACGAATAATCACAGGTCTGCGAAAATCGAAATAAAGTCAATTAACTGATGATGCTAAAATGTGAATTATCGAGAAGAAAATCTGTGCGACACAGAGCTGTGAACACACATCCAGGCAGAGAAAAGGGGAAGCGAGAAGAAAAAACACCTAGCCGCTCCACATAATAACCCCATTAGAAGCCTCATCAATGATGTAATGAAAGCAAACAGTGTGAAAATTGCCTGTAAATAGTTGGATCGGAGTCTCCTGATGAATTCAGTGTCTCTTTTATCAAAGTAAGGATGGGGCCAGGGAGGAGAGGAGAAGGGGATGGGAGGCAGAGTCAGTGGGCGTGTGGGGAGGTCCACTTCCAGCTCCCCTCAGCCAATGAGGGCTTGTCACAGGGGACTCACGTGGACGAGGTGCTCTTAAAACCTAGCTCCTGACTTTTCCTCAAGTTCAATTTTTTGGGATTCCCTCCCACCCCAATCACGCCTCGTCCCTTTACTTGCCAGTAGTGATTATTTAACCCAGTTTTTTTTTTTTTTTTACCTCGCCTCTGGTTTTTCTCCTCTGCGCGCTTGGTCTCTTCTTCCGCATCGGCAGCCGTCTTTGGACACTTCGCTCCCCACGATTTGAGAATTGTTTTTATTTTTAAAGGCTCTTTTTGTCATAAAGAAAGGAATGCAAACGGTTTTCCAGAAGGACAAGCCGATCTGAACGCCGCCTCCAGCTCCTCGGTGAGGTCTGACGCGCCTGTAGCTGTCCATGGTGCTAAAAAACCATTCCGCACGAGACTTCCCGCACGCGCTGCTTCTACCTCCGCAACGTTTTCCAGAGAAATTAGATAATTTCGAAGGGGTCTATCCCGCTGGTGAGAAACAAGTTGATCTTTGTTGAGGTTTTTCTGAAGTGGGAGCGGACGGAGTTCGAACCTGCTCGAAACCAGAAATAATCGATTGTGACTCCATCGGCGGTATCGATTGCGTCTTTTTCAGACTTGCCCCGAAAAGAACATCGGATGAATGGACGTTTGTTTTGTTTTTTTATTAGCTGAGTTTAGCCTGGAGATATTCCGTCCACGGGAACTGGAAGCAGCGGGTGGGGAATCTTAAAAATTCTCGCGTCCCCACTAAGATTTTTTCGAAAAAAGGGGGGTCGTTTCACCTCTTCGGGATCAACTTCGCCAAACAGAAACATACCCCCCCTATTCCTACTGCAAGAATCCAACGTGTCTCCGTACCAAATGGTCATCTGAGGAGGCCGTCGAAAAGCAATGGAGGCGTCCGCCAACGGCTCCAGTTTTGGCATCGACTCGCTGCTGTCCCACAGGCCCGGAAGTCCTGTTTCCAAAGGGGGCAGCCTGGCGGGGGAGTGCCGCTCGCCTCTGGAGTTCAGCCCCAGATCGGACGCGGAGAGCGGGTGCTCGTCGCCCCCGTCGCCGAGACGGGAGTGCGTGGACGAGGTGGCCCCCAGGCCGGGTCACGGCGTGGCCCTGCAGCCGCACCACCTCCAGCACGCGCAGATATCCGCCGGCTCGCAGCAGAGGACCGTGACTTCGTCGTTCCTCATCAGAGACATCCTCGCGGACTGTAAGCCCCTGGCCGCCTGCGCGCCCTACTCCAGCAATGGTCAGCCGACCCAGGAGGCCGGCAGGCTGGCCTCCAAGATAGCCGACGACTTCATGGAAAAGATCCACAGCAACTCGTCGTCGGACAGCGAATACAAAGGTGAGGACGGGAGAAACGCGCAGGGAAGAATTCGTATAGAGAAAAAGCGCCGTAAACACGCACACACACAGACTAATAAACATACACACACGTATATATGTGTACATTAAAGCTACATCTCATAGTGATTATCATGAGGGAAAAATAGAATAGTTGTGAGAGAATACATAATTAAGTAACATATAACAAACAAATAAATATAGATGTAAATACATATTTAAAAAATATATATTTCCAATATTAGTTTCCCCAATACTGAATAACCAATAATTAAAAGGTGTGTTTTAGAGGTGTTAAACAGTAATATTGCTGCAAATGTTATGTAAAATTTTAGTTATTATCATTTATCTGAAGTGATCATTTCTTGAAGATTGACCACAAAACACAAGATTTTAGTCAGATTCTTCAATATGGTTGTCAGTTTTATTTATGATTAACATTTAACGAATGATGCAGTGTCCTCTTAAATAAATCAAATAAAATTAATAAATACACTTTAATGTGGAAAAGAGCTCGTCAGGCTTGATTTCATGGACAGTAACCTCATCCTTCACCATTAGTAACCAAAAAAAACACAGATCCTCCCGATTCCCTGCTGCTGCAGACTGAGATTTGTCCCGGGACGGTGACGGCTCAGACCAGCTGGTTGTTTTAAAAATGATCACCTCTGACCATTACCAATCCCGCGTGCTCGTGCGCGCGCACAGCGCTTCCAGCTCCGCGTTTGCAGGATATCTCAGAGAGGAGCGAATGCAATCCTATAGGAGATGACATGGGTTTGCCTCCAGATAAATGCCATCAAGGGCCTCTCTGGTTCAAATCCTGTCAGCCATAACGCACGTGTCACCTCCACAGACGGAGTAATGAGGTGGAGTCTGGACAGAAGACACACGTGGAGCCAAACACAACATTTTTTTACTTTTTAAACATTCTTTCTTCTTCCCGTTTCTTGCCTGATACGAGTTTGTTCTGGCCCATTTCTGTCCGTGGCCCCAAATTCAGTCCTTTCAGCTACCGATGAGGGCCTGACGGGCGTGCGCGTATGCGCGTGTTCACGTGGAGCGAAGGGAAAAAGGCTCATCTAGGCGCTGATTGATTGATGCTGGAGGGGGGGGGGGGGGGGGGGGGGGTGCAAGGATCTCCAACGCTCACCGCAACTGAAATTTCCCACGAAATTCCGCCGCCCGGAACGCATCACAGATTTCGATGCAATTTGTCCCCGGCGCTAATCAGATTTGTACCCGCGCGCGCGCTCTTGATTCCCCTCTCATTTTCCACGCTCTCCGGTCGCGGTTGAAAGGCGAGTCCTTCCCTTGTGGCTCAATTAGGCGGATTATTGTGCTTCTTGAGACGACTCAACTATTCAAGATCTCCCTCTCCATCTCCCCTCTTTTTTCATTCCTCTTCTTTCTTCTTTCTTTCTTCCTTTTTTTTTTAATCTCATCTCAGAGAATTGACTATAAGTAGCCCATATCAGCGCTTGCCCTTACACGACTCCACGCAGAAAAAAGAACAAAGGTTACGGTTCTGCTGACAGGGGGTGAAAGAAAAAAAGAAAAAAAATCACACTGGAGGCCGGAATATTGGAAGAGCTTTTCATAACAAATTAAGGCCAAATCAAACCTCCACACAGCCCCCAGCCCCGCGTTTTGATCCGTTCCTTTGACTCCCCGGATGACATTGAGAGTCGCTCCAAAAGCCAAATATGGTAAAACAGAAAAAGAGGAAACGTTTGTGAATCTCTTGTAACATTTTTAATAAGATTTGTTGCTGTTTTGTTTGGGGTTTTTATTTAAGTTTGAAATTAAATCGACCCTCTAAAGCCCCCTCGGCTTTCTTCCATAGCCTACAATTAAAAAATGTGGAAACTAAATCAGCGCATCCCACTTCAAAGATTTGAAACTCTGCCATGGTCGCGTCCTTTGAAGGAAGAGTTCGGATGTTGGGCCATTAAGCCTGTTACTTCAAATTTAAAGTTTTTTTTTTCTAAATATTTTTTTTTAGCCTGCGGCAAAATCTCATGCAGGAGGCACAGCGCAAAGTTTCTCCGCTTTATTTTTAAAGTTCAAAGAAGTAATTAAAACCACTTTTTAAAATCTGATCTCCCCCTACATAATTCCACCTTGGATAAAGTTGTTTAATATATAAATGAAACACATATTTTCTGGTTTTGGGGTGACAGCTTTATTCCCCGCTTACTGTCTCTCGTGCGTAAAACACCAGGAAGCCTTGGGTTACGCATGGTTTCTAATTCTTATTCTTTCCATTTTGGCTTTTCTTTTGGCTTGGCAGTGAAAGAGGAAGGCGACAGGGAGATCTCCAGCAGCAGGGACAGCCCCCAGGTCCGGCTGAAGAAGCCCAGGAAGGCCCGCACGGCCTTCACGGACCACCAGCTGGCGCAGCTGGAGCGCAGCTTCGAGCGGCAGAAGTACCTGAGCGTCCAGGACCGCATGGAGCTGGCGGCCTCCCTCAACCTCACCGACACGCAGGTCAAGACCTGGTACCAGAACCGGAGGTAAGGAAGGACGCCTGGACCGTTGATTGATTTATTTATCTGAAAAAAGCGCACAGGGGGAAGGATAATCTGCGATTTTTTTTTCTTTTCGCTGCTGGATCCTGACCCAGAAATGCCATGTTTTCCTTCCACTGTCCCCCCTAAAAAAAGTGTCAGGAGGTTAACATTATGGCCGAGTCACGTAGAGGACTGCGGCTAATCTTCTTAGTCCAGAAGATCCACTTGTGGAAGGAAGAAAGTTGATATATTTACACATATTTAAATGTCTAAGTTATATGCCTTTTAGTAAGGTAAAAAGAGAGTTCTTTAATGAAGTTGGAAAGAAAGTTTAATCACTTTTGAATAGGTTGAGGCTCTTACATAAAAGAAAACGATTTTCTCCGTATTTTTGTGATTCGTCTCAGGTCTAAGTTCTGTTTTATTTTTGGACAGTACCCTGACGTGTATTTGTTTTCGTATCGCCATCCTTTATTCAATTTAATCTGATCTGACAGGAGAAAAAAAATAAGAGAAAGCAGGAGAAAGGAGACAGGCGTGTTCATCCACAAGTATTAGTTGGAGGGTTGGAACGCCTGTCACCTCTTTATTTCTTCAGTTTTTTTTTTTAATTCTCCTCAATGCAACAATATTGTTATGTAGGAATTGCATGAAACTAAAAATGGTGGGACCCCAAAATTAGCTGCCTGCTTTTAGGAAATGAACCAGCAACTTGCTGTTTTATTATCTTGATCGAATCCATCTATTTTTCTGCTTCTCTGACTCCAAGGGAGCTAAATGACACAAATAAAATAAAAAAAAGAATAAAACGCTATTTGAGTTTGAGTCGGCCATGAATAATGCATCGTTGCATGTGTGCATATTAATAATTCAGAGGAAACTGCTATATCTACTCAATTATCTTTATTATGAATTATTCACCTGCGTGGAGTGCACACTGGGTATCCAAAAGACATGTTTGGGTGTGAACACCAGCGGCCGGCTGGAGATTTAGGTGATTTTAAAAAAGGAAGGAAGATGGAAAAAAATGGATGAAATAAAGAACATTCCCGACTTCTATAATTGGATCCCGGGTTAACAGATGGGGTGGATATCGGGCATGTCGGACACTGCGTACACGCACGTGCCATCGAAGGCTAAAATATGGTGCATTTTTGTGTCCATCCAGGACAAAGTGGAAGAGGCAGACGGCGGTCGGGCTGGAGCTCCTGGCCGAAGCCGGGAACTACTCGGCCCTCCAGAGGATGTTCCCCTCCCCGTACTTCTACCCGCAGAGCCTGGTGTCCAACCTGGACCCCGGGGCGGCCCTCTACCTGTACAGGGGGCCCTCGGCGCCCCCGCCGGCCCTCCAGAGACCCCTGGTCCCGCGGATCCTGCTGCACGGCCTGCAGGGGGGCAGCGAGCCCCCGCCCCCCCCGCCCCCACTGCCCCCCATGTCCGGCGTGCTCCCGCGGCCAGCTCAGCAGCGGTGAGCCGCTCACCGCTGCTCTGTTTTTTTTTCCCTCTTCATCTGGCAGTTTAAATATATAGAAAAAATAAGGACAAAGACGGGAAAAAGATAATGACTTTAAAAAAAATACAAAATTAAAAAAAACTCTTCGGCTCTTGGTGAAAACGGGTCGATGGTAAAGGAGACCTGAATGAGACTCTTAAAGACTATGGACTTGTTTTTTTTTTTGTTTTTTGTTTTTTGTTTTCCTCTTGACTGTCTTGGGGGAAAGGAGCATTATTTATAAGTAATTTATTTTTCAATTTGAATCAAAGCGTCTAAATTATTATTTATTTAAACCCACTTTCAGTATTCAGTCCCAACAGGCTCCAATTGTTGGTGGAACTTGAACCAAGCCAATCGGACCTTCCTTTGGTTTGCATTATTATTGTTGTTGTTATTTTTTTTAATTGTTATTGTCATTATTATTATTATTATTAGTGGGTTTTATCCCACGTCATTCAAGCTATCTGATAAGCTTCCATGTAGTTTGTACCAGACGTAGTCCGAACATCCAAAGGAACTATGTTTTTATTTTCATCCTGTAAAGCTTTCATAGTTTTTTTTTTTTTTTTTAAAGACGATCAGCTGTCACAAAACTGTAAATAAGAATATTTTGCCTTTGAACCTGCAGAGGCGGAGTTTAGTTTCCTCGGTGCTTCTTTCCCAGAGCACAGCCATCGAACAGGGACTAGACTAGATTATAGCCACCAGTAAACCACACAGGCGAGCGAGTTGGAGTGCAAAACAAAATGAATAAATGAATAATTACAATTTTTCTTTATTTCAAATGCATTTATTATCCGAGAAAAGGACGGACTTCTCCCGCGGACCCACGTGGAAGCTCAAAGACGAGATCTCCGGAGAGATGTGAATCTATATGAAGTCTTTTTTTTCCTTCTTTTTTTCCCATACAGCTTCTTAAAAAACAACAACAAAAGAACAAGACAAGTGATTTGTATCTCATGGAACAGTCTTCCCACCAGGAGGGAATGAAGTCGCCAGAGTGATGGTTCATTTAATTGTTTTTTTTCCCTCTTTTTCCTAAAACAAACCCATCGGACTCGGGTCCTGGCGCAGGTGTACCCGCCTGTTGATTTGTTGTATTTGAACAGACGTTGTGCATTCCTTCTGTTATTTCATATCAAGCTGTGATAACTCTTAATTGTTCTTCTCTCCCTTGGTGAAAAATGTATATTGCAGATATCAAACTTGTGGAGTGCTTTTCGTATATTTCCCCAGGATCGTTTCTTTCTTTCTTTTGTTTTTTTGTTTTTTTCCTACTTCATTCGAACTGCCTTTATGTTCCCGTTCTGGCTTATCCTCAAATTCTTTCCCAAAACAACCCCCCACCCTCCAACCCCCCCATCCCCGTAATTCCTCTTCCCTTTTCCCCCCTTTCGACGAAGTTCACAGCAAAAAAAAAAAAGAAAAAAAAAGTTGGACTGAAAAAATAGGGGGGGATTTGATGTAAAAGAGAATTACTTTTATAAATGTGGAAATAAAAGTCTTTCATTTAATCACGTGGCTGCTTCGAACGTGTGGGTGCGTAAGTGTGTGTGTGTCTGAGATGAGTGTCAGGTGGACTCAACACGTGGATCCGGTCAGCTCAGTTTTTAAACTTAGGCACAAAACGGAAAAACAGAAACAAGAGCAAACGGAAGTGGGAAGCGGAAAAAAGGAACATTGGCGGCTGTGATTTGCGCTCGAGTTGCGCGTGCGGTTGTCACATTACAGCCAGTTTAGCGTAACAAGTAGCCGCATTTAACCACAGGGAAATAGAAGCACAGCATAGGCCGAATGGGCAAAAATCTTCCTTTACTGTCGGCGTTTATTATTAATATTTAAATGTAACTATGTCTCCAACACTTAACCCTCAGCATTATGACGATATTTAATCCTAATCCTGCTCTTTGTGGTATGTTACCGTAGTTTGAACTTGATTTTCTTTTGTTTCTTTGTTTCCCCAAGCCCTCTTTACAAATGCTTTTGAACTTTAATACAATTCCATACTTATTTTACGCATTGCATTGAAATTAATAGAGGCGTCATGTTTGTGCAATTTTATTTTTTTTAACCTCTCTTGAGTAGGCCTGATATTTTGATATTTATAAACCAAATTTCGACATGTTATCGACGTGTAAGCATCTGGAAAAATGTCAACATGACATCAGTCTCTGATCAGAATGATCGAAATCCAACTGAACGCTGACACCAAATGGATGGCCTGTGGAAAATGTGACACTTTCTAAGTTTTAAAACCATATCGAGACTGTGAATCCAACCCGGTTTTATTTGATGTCGTTAAAAAGCACGAGGAGCTGCGTGTCCCCCTTGAAAAGAGAAGCTGAAAAGAGTCCATATCGGCGTTTGTGTCACACTCATTTCTTTCTTCTCTGTTCGGTTTGTCGTCGACTCAATTTATCTGATACAGAGATGAATTGCTGGGGAGGAAAATGACGGTGTTTCAACTTCGTTTTTCCTTGACCTTTTCAAAAGGGAGGAACGGGGGGGATCAGAGACACATCTGGGCCAATGTTAACGCGGTTCGTTGTTAATTACAACAATATTTGTCTTTTACCAAAGTGCTTATTAGATCTAATCTCTTCGTTGGTTGTCTTTTTGTCTCTTTATGAGCACAGATTTCATTGCAGTGTACACAGCGGAGAGGGGTTGGATTCGAAGTGACAGAAGTCAGAATCACCCCCCCCCCATCCCCTTTATCTCCTCCACAAACAAACACATGCAAAAGTGAAATCGAAGATCAATTCCAGCTGATGTCTTCCGAAAATGGGCCAACAAACCAGAAGGGTGTCCTGTCCAAAATGGAGCCCCCGTTCCACCCCTCCACCCCCCCCCCCCCTACTTTCCTAAATTGACAGCAGCAGCTCCGATTCGTTTTCCATAAACAATGGCTAGGATATGAAATATTAATGTCATGTGCGCAATTGTTTAAGTGCCTTAAATGATCCCCATTTGGAAATTGATTGTTTCCATCCTTCCCCTTTGCTTGAAGGGGTGCTGGATGCGCTCTCCTCTGCCAAACGGCTCCAACAGCTGGCGACCGGGGCTGGAGCTGACTGCAAACCGAGGATCAGCCCGGGGACAGCTGGTCAGCGGCTCCACCAGCCATCCCCCCCCCTTCCCAACCCCCCACCCCCACGTCCATACACATCCACCAGCCTCGTTCTCCCCCATTCCAAGTCTGCCCGGCCCTGATCCATGCGTCCACGGGCGCGTCGGGGGTTAAAGGAGTTCAGGCCGACGGACAAAACTTGGCGCGTCGGATGTTAACGATTAGACAAAAGACTTTAATAGCTTTTAATTGAAAGTCGATAATGGGTTTGATAGCCAGCTCCCCCTGCTGTCATCTGCGCATCGCACCTGTTATCTGCCCCCCCACCTCCCCTACCCTACCCCCCCCCCCATTATGGGGCTGATCATGCCGTGAAATATCAGACTGACGGACTGATAATCTCTTATGAAGCATAAAATTGCATTAGAAAATATACAGCTTGCGAGCTGGTCAGCTTTTGGCATAGAAGGGGAGGGAGAACTACTTCCTGACCTGCCAAAAAAAGGGTCATTAAAGTCCAATCATGACCGATAAAGATAGCAGATTTATCTATTTATTTATCTATTTATTTATTTATCTATTTACTACAAAATGAGTTACTTGCAGAGCGCACATTTGATTATATAAGGGAAAGCCCCAGTGCGTCTTTCTGGATGACTCTATCCCCCCCCCCCTCTTTTCTTTGCATGTGAAAAGGGTGGTCTGTAAATCCTCCAGCTCTTACCGTGGATTGTCCCCGGCTCAGGGTTAATGAAGTGCGGATGGAGTCTCGTTGGGATCCCGACACACGCGCACGCACACATATACACGCACACACGCACACAAAGAAAAAAAGAAAGAGAGAAAAAGAAAAGAAAGAAAGAATGAAAGGCTTACAACGAGGATCAGTGACTCTTCTTAATTCAATGCACTCCTAATAATGATAATAATTCAAAGAAGGGGAAAAAAAAGAAGAAAATAAGAACAATAGCCTTTTGATGAAATTAAGAAGGAAAAGTGTGCAGTGCATTGTTAGTGGTGTTAAAGCCTTCTATTTCCTTTCTTTATTTTTTTAGTGGACCAATGAGGAATATCCTGCTTCTTTCTTTAATATTGTTCCAATGTTGCAATGCGTTTCATTAAAACAAATCAACAGGGGAGAATGAAAAGTAGATCAATTAATAATGTTCAAGAAAGAAAAAAACATGGCCTATTTTGCCATTATTTTCCTTAACAATAGACGAACAACATCTAATTGTGCAGTTTCCTGCCTATAAGCAAAACGTGCTTTAATGGGAGATGTATCTGCTTTTATGTTTGATAAAACAGAAGATCACATGCCTATAGCTTCTATATTCTCTAAAACGCATTTAGGTCACTTTTGGATCAACTTTAGAAGCTAAGTGGATTTCAAAACAGCAACTGGGACCCTCACACTCAAAACAAAATAATTCATTTCACCTCAAAAATGAAAAATTCTGGTGTTTTTTATTCATAGAATTTCTTTAGAACCTTTTTGGGGTCAAAACAATTCACAAGATCAGACAATACAACCTATTTTAAAAGAGTCTGATCTAGAAAAAAAATGCAAGCCTAAAACAACAGAACAAATGTTTGTCTTGCTCCAATTTAACAAGTTGTTTTTTCTCTCCATATCAAATCAAAATGTTACATTCACAAGAATAAATTCCCCCATTTTCCCCATAACTGCAGATAAGTATGAGGAAAAAAAGGGGGGTAAGTGTTAAAAAGGAATGATGAACAGTCACTGAGTCGCCAGCACAGTACTAAATTAGCAAGTGTGAAAGGGGAGTGTGAAAGAGTGAAAAGAAGAGAGCCATTCTGCGCCTGGAGGGCCGCAAGGAGGAATAAAAGCTTCACGGAGCGGAGATAACCCCGCTAATCATTTCCCCAATATGACGGGGGAG